TTCATAAAACTTTTAAGGGTCATGACAGAAATATACGGCTTTCTTGAACCTCAGCATCATCCATTTAGTACAGAAGAAGTGAGAGGTTCTTGTGAAAGCAAGAGTTCACCTGTGTAAATAAAGATCACATTGGCAGTGTGATTTAGACTGTAGATCACACCAGTAACACACTACGAGATGGACTCTAAGGAGCAGACTGGGGGCTGTGAATAGAACAGAATGCTAAACGCAGCCAGGAAAAAGGCCACAAAATGCTGTCTTCATATATTGTTGTGCTACCTGTTTATGTCAGGACAAAAATTTCTTCCATGATGAGTTTTTATCTTTATTGCAGTCTGCACTTACAAAAGAGTTTGGGGCCGCACAACAAACATGATGTCAACAGTTTTAGCTCTACAGCTAGTTCTTTTTGTAAGTTTCCATATATGCTATTCCAATCTCACTTCATCAAAACCATAAACCCCATTAAAAAGCATGTTGTCATTTTACAAATTGTGTGGTATTAAAAAACAATTTCAACTAGTTACAAGGGACCTCGCTAATCACTCTTTAAAAAAAAAAGCTTCAAAGTTTCTTATTGCGGTCTAACTGTACAACATATATTTTCATATGCTGTCTTTCAAGGCACGTACTTCTGTTTTTTGATAGTTCTTTTTGTCATGTTGATTTACTTCTTTCTTTGTGGCAGGGATTGGGTTTTACTAGCATTAAAATCACCTCCAGGAAATGTGCAAATTACCTGGAGAGAGTAGGACGCAATGTTGCATCCATTTCTAATTTTAACTGGATGGACGTCATAAGATCCACCTGAAACATAGTACTGGGGTTGGTGTGTTGGTGTGTTTTTCACCAGATCACATAATTCCTGATGGACTTGTGCAAAGCCACGGGTTTCAGTGGCTAGATTGTTATTCAACAACATGCATAAGATGTATACTAGTACCAAAATGGGGAGAGAGCATGCTGGCTTGTTAAGTGCTCAGAAAAGTTTGAGGAGCAGTGTGGCAGTTGTAGGGGAAGCTGATGTGTGACTCAGGAGAACTGAACTCATTGTGGCCTTCCAGTACTTGAAGGGAATGTATAAACAAGAGGGGGAATGACTGTTTATATGGGTTGATAGTGATACGACAAGAGAGAATGGTTTTAAGCTAAGACAGGGGAAATTTAGGTTAGATATTAGGAGAAAGTTTTTCACACAAAGGGTGGTGGAGCACTGGAACACGTTGTCCAAGGAGATTGTGGATGTCCCATCCCTGAAAGCATTCAAGGCCAGGCTGGATGTGGCTCTGGACAGTCTGGTCTACTGGTTGGCAACTCTGACCACGGCAGAGAGTTGAAACTATATAATCATTATGGACCATTCTATGATGCTATGTTTCTGGTTCAACCACTGGTCTGTTGGAAAACTATCACTGGCAAATGGCTTTTCCTGCCTATGCTGCTGCTACTTTGGCAAGCTCTATCCTCTCTATTAGAAAGGAAGCTTTAGGAGTAGGGTCTTGTCACAAACTATGTAAATACACAGCACATAGTTCATTTGTGTCTTTCTGCCAGATTCTGCACTGCTACTAGCTGTCAAAAATCCTAGAGAATTTTTGAGTTTGAATGTCAAAACCTTTCATAGTTTCCTACTAGAGTATTTTGCTGTGGCTGTTTCTGGGCTTCTGCCTGCCTCTTACTATAGCACCGTCTCTTATTTTATATACTTTTTAATATATAAAATATACTTCATATATATAAAATATACTTTATATATTTTATATATCTTATGCTGCTCTTTTTTTTTTTTTTTTTAATACACACAACCCTCCCCCCAAAAAACTTTAGCTTTCCTGCTTCTCATTTAGTTTTCCTGGCTCTTTCCTCTTGGAGTGGAAGTATCTTCCACTCTGGAAGTTTATTGCTGGTGTTTTTCTCTCCTGTGACTCTCTTTTGAAGGGTTATCACAGTTGACTAGAAGATTTTTGCCTACGAAGTGAATTACTATGGTAGTCAAAGACCATCCAGTACAAAGTCCTTCACATCCTGGAGACATGTGTACAGACCACAGTGGCAAATCATGCTATATGGGGAAAAGAGCCATTGAGTCTGTGTTGGGATAATCTAATGGATGTTGATCCAGTTCATAGTGGGATTCTTTAAAGAAACTTAATTTGGAGTCTGATTGTTTCCTTCATTTGTGAAACAGAGAGTAATGTGAAATGAATTAGACAGAAAATAGGCAAGAAAATAGGAAAAAAATTAGGAAAGGATTTCACCTGTAGGTAGATAAACCTATTCTGATTTCACTTTGAATTTTCTCTTTCTGTCTTAGGTTGTTTCAACTTCCCAGAAGTAGATTTTAGTCCTACTTTGCAGTATTTGTAATTGAAATATATTTTAGTTATCATCAGCTGCCAAAGTACATAGAAAGAAAAAATAAATAAATGAGTTTTGTTGAACTTCACAGATAATGTGAATGCTTTGTTGGGCTGAGGACTGTCCTGTCTCAAACAAGAACAAATTAGTTTTGAAATTTTTGCTGAACTGGAAGTTTGAAAATAATTATCTTTTGAGTAGATGTGCAGTGTTCTGCTTTCAGGTTTTTTACATTTGACTTTAAAATGAATGGAAAGGAACTGTTGAAACAGCAAGAAACTTGTCTTAACAGCACAGCTAAATCTTTGATACAGCAGTGGAGTCTTAGTTCTGCCTCTCTTGCTGGAAACCGTAACTCAGTGATTTCACCTGAAGTGGACAGTACCTCAGGAAATTTCTGTTTCCAGTTAAAATGGCATTTATTAACTATTCAAGTGACTGCACTCTCCATTTGGTGCTTAATGTTTCCTCAAGTTTTTCAGGGTCAAAGGTAACAGAGGTGAAGTTTTTTATTGCTGTTGTTACGAGTCTGCTCTAGGTGGATTCTGATTCTTTTCTTAACTAATAAATATTGTTCTGTGATAGTTCAGGTTCCTCAGGGAACTGCTGCTGATGACAAAAGTCCTGTATGAATAGATAAGCACAAAACAACTTGAAGGTTAGAAATGTGTGCTCCTGTCCTTATAGTGCAATGCTTAAGATGTCAAATGCAAGGAATTATCAAAAGAAAGAGCTGAAAAAAAAGAATAAGAAATTGTTAATAACACTCACACAAAATATCAGAAATCTACCTGAAAATGTTTTGGGAGTACTTTTTTTCTTTTGTTTTGTTTTGAGAATCACGTAAAAAAAGTATGTAAGTATATTCTAGTAGCACACTGACTACATATGGACTGCATATGTGGAAGAGAGATAAATCATGTAAGGCTTTAATTGTCAGGCATCTGAGTGAACTATTCTGTTTGGAGGTAACAGGTAAATTAATGTCCCTTCATAGCAAACAGGTTAGCATAACTTGTGTTCCTTCTTCACTTCCTCACTGGCTCAGTTGAAAGCACTTGCAGAGATAAAGAGTCTTGTGACAGCAGGTCAAACAAGGATGGTAAATATTTTCCAGTAATTCTATAGCAGTAATTAATAGAAAAACACTAAGTTATTTTTTTAAATGTTTGGATATAAAAAGCATAATGAAGAAGGGCACGTGTTTATTGAGGTAGTATCCAAAAGTACACATTATTAAGATAGCTAAAGTAGAGTGGGATTTCTGTGCTAACCCTGTGGGGCGGAGCATCATCTGAAGCATTCAGAAGATATTTTTAAAACTTTTTTGAAACCTTTTCTTGTTTATTTACTTGAAATTAAAGTATTTATTAACGTGCTTGTGTATTTGAACCTTGAAGGCTGAGTTCTCAAAGTCCTCTATGTAGATTATTAATTAAAGTTTTCTAGGATATATTCTCCAAATTTCCAGTGTCCTCACAGTTTGGATTCACAAAGATTGAAAATCTATGTTATTCTATTTCTGTACAATAGATACTGCCTTGGGAAAACAGTATTGGGAAGCTCAGATACTATTAGGTTAATTGTCTGGGAAGTATCTGTTGAACATTTATGGCAACTTAAATATTTATGCAAGGTATTTCAGGATCAATAACTCAAAATTTTCCAGCTCAACCTTTCACCTGAAAGATACCAGCGAGTTGTAATTGGATGCATCTGTAGAATCTGAGTCTATCTGAACATGAATTTCGAGTGCCTAAAATAAATGGCCGTATTTGTCTTTGAGTTATGAATGTACCTTTTACCCCACCGGTTTGAGTGCAAATCTAATTTTTCATTTTAGAAAAGTAGTGTTTGAGACTGATATTGAGTTACATCAATATCACTGATAGTTCGGTTACACACTTTGAAAAAGCAGAAGTAAAAAGTAGAAGAAAGATACCAATTTTCACATTATCTGCAGAGGTTATGTTAGGTTTAACAAAGAATCCATAAAGCCTGCTGGTGGATAATGAGGTTCCCTCATTGCTGGACTGGAGACTGTATTGTTAAGCAAGTTTTTCTTATGGGCAACAGCAAATGCTGTGAAAAATTATAAACCTTAATATAGGGAACAGGGGAACACATGATTTAAGGAAAAAAAAAAAAAAGAGAAAAACATGTAACTGCTTTTACAAAAAAAGTTCTGCAAGCAAACTGGAACGTAAATTAAGCTTGACAGTAGTCTAATAGACATGAATGTCCCCAATGAGGTCTAAGTGGCCTGCAGGTCTCTCTTATTCTTGTACTACTTTGCAGCAAATGGTCTTACTAAGGGAAGCTGGGCTTTTCACATGTGAATACTGTTGCTGTAGAGGTTTCTAAAACACATTTTAATGTAGATTTAATACATGTACTTGGGGCACATTCGGAGGCAACATATGCCCTAGTTATTTGAAAACAACTAAATATAAGAAGAAAAGCAGCCCCATCCACACTCAAAAAAAAAAATAAAAAAAATAAAAAAAATTACAGATCAGAACATCACAGATAATTTTTGTTTATGATAACCTAGGTAAGAGAAGTAATCATTATGTATTAAAAATAATTCTGTCATATCTAGAATATTTACACTGTGGTAATAATATTTATGTGGTTGGCAGTATTTACGCAGAAAGACAAAACAAGGACTCAAGATCCAGAAAACTATGACCTGGGGAAAAAAATCTCTCTGATGTACTCCAAACTCCTACTGAACCTAAGGTAGGTTCTCATTTTCTATCATTACCTTCCTGTAGGTCACTAGCTGGAAACAATGTGTTGGAGTTTTTGTCTGTTTGATTTTTTTTGTTGTTGCAAATGCTATCAAGAGAAGAATTTATCCTTGAAAAAGTAAGCCCTGAGTTCTGCTTGTATCACAGAGAGCACTTGTATCTATGCCAGCTTCAGGTTAATGCCTCCAGATTGCTATTGTGCCTTATAGTTGGCTCTTGCAGTCTGTTTCTGTCTGAGTTGTTGATTTATATTTTTTTTTCTTGCTATTTTTTTCCCCCAGCTTGTAATGAATCATTGCATGCTACTTTGTTCTGCTTTCTAGTGTGTGAGAGCTTGCTTATTTATTAATCAGAACAATAACAAATAGAAATGCATGGCCTTTTCATAGTCATTATTTCAGATCTCTTTGTTCCAGGCTACCTAGCACCTGTGTCATAAATTAAGTCTGTAACAGCCACATATAAAATGAATAATAAAATTTGTGTTTGTTTTGCACCAATTTAAAAATAATATACTTACACTCCGTGAATCAGTAGCTTTAACACTTGGTTGAAATTCTGAATATTACAACAAAATCATTTTCTTTTGCGCTGTAGCTATTATGCTGATGTTACTTGTATGACAGAATGTACACTACTAAAACAAAACAAGCTCAGGATCAGAACAGCTGTTACTGTGGAGAGGAAAGGTTATTTCTAAGTTCCCACATTCTGGTTTAAGATACACAGCAGTGAGAAATTAAAAATATAAGAGGATTCACATAAATATCGAGTTCACTCCTGAAAGTTTGGGCTGCATGAAATTCATAGTGTGATAGGAAAGCTACAATAAATCTGTAGTTGAAGGATTTGACTTGGTTTTGATGCTGATGCTTACAGTTGGGAAAAGAAAAAAAAAAAAAAAAGTTAAGTGCTCTTTTACTCTGCAGAATGTAGCTTTGACCTGCCATGGAACCCTTGAAATATGGGGTACTTGCTATAAACACTCCAGGCTAGACATGGATCTGGCTGGGAAATTCAGTGCTATTACTAGGGAGAGAGAAAAATGGAAAATGTTTACTTCTGGGAAACTTATTTCCCAAAAATAATTTGGAGAACAAATGCCACTAACAGTGGTAGGCAAAAAGCAGTCATGAGAGGTGACAGCTGGCAGATTTCATTACCAAATGGCCTCTGACAAAACGGGAGGCAGGTCCTGTATTGGGTCTATTTCAGACTTGTAGCAGGAGTACTGCAGAAGGTGATCTTGGACCAAGTGACCACATGTAGAGAGTTTAAACTAACTGGAAAATAAAAGACAAAAAGAATATGCATATAGCAGTTTGAAGTTAGTTGAACACAAGTTACTTAAGGTTATGAATAAAGATGAAGTTTTATCTTCAAAATGAAGATAAAATAAAATCTAGTCTCCATGTCCCTGGAAAGATAATAACGTTTTTTTAGAAAACCTTCAGAATGAAGTATTTCATTCACACAGGAAATTCTGACTATGTTAGGATACTCTGCATAATCTGGCAAAACAGATCAATATTGTTGACCAAGTTTGATATTTAATGTATTCAGATTGTAAACATGAAGCTTGTCTGTAAATAACTATAGAAGATCTCACTGATACTGAGCAATGGGGAAAAGGAATATTATTTGAAACTCAATCTGAAATTGATAAATGTAAATTTGTCCACCTGGAAGAGAAAATAATCAGTCATGGGCTGTCACGTGATTATGACCCCACACACAAGATGTTTGAAGTTATAATGAGCAGCTGTACAAGCTACTCATTTTAGTATCCAGCAATGAGAAGCAAAGAAAGTACTTGGATTAAAATGAAAAGAACGCAAAACAATAAAAATCAACACTTCAGTAGGTGCTGTATGCATTCAAAACATTGACATGCAAAAGATAAAAGATAGTAGAAAGTATTATTAAAGATGTGAGATTCCTTTGTTATAGGGAATGAGGAAATAGAGTGGGATGCTTCAGCCTGAAATACATATCTACATCATTCCAAGTTATCTTTTAAATCACAAGTGGCCTGGAAAAGGTGAACAGGGAATGATTGCTCATAGTCTCTTTCAATATTAGTAAAACCAAATGCCCAGACTCTAGTTAAAACAAAGAAAAGGAGACATAGTTTCTGACAGAATGCAATTCACATAGCCCTAGATCTCATCCTATTGCAAGATTTCCCAATGCTTTGGCACTCTCACATCCTTTATCTACTCTCTTCCCTGTATTTGTGCCAAACTGATACAGAGGACTTTGTTTCTAAAAGGTGTAATATGTTTATGAATGCTGTGGTTTAATTTTTTTTCTTTAAAATTTGCTGATCAGTTCAAACTGCTGGAGATATGCACCTTCTTCTTATTCTTCCTTTCCATATCTGGGCATTTTTCTATACTTGTAGAAATGCAGACACTGGCCTTCCAGATCCCCTGGGTCTGCTGCTGATTTAAGGAGAAGCCATTCACATTCTCAGTGCTGCCAGTTATTCTTGTTGTTTTTCCTTTTTTAAGTTCGAGTGAGAGCATAAGTGTATGCTAACTCATAAGAAAGTTGTACTCAGATTCAGTATTAAATGTATCCTTCCTCCCTTCCCCCATCATTTTAATTAATTTTGATTGTAGTAATTCCTACGCTCCAGTTTTTTTCTAGTTTCAGACATGGCCTGAGGTCTTTCTGCAACTGCTTGTGGAATGAAAAAATAAAGGAGGGGAGAAGGAGAGGGAGGGGGAAGCATAGAAGAAGGGAAAACACAGGGTCTAAAATGTCCCTCAAGGACCTGAATGTCTGCAGTCAGCTTGGAATGCTGACTGCAGCATCAGTGAGGCTTGAGCAGCTGGACATGCATTGTCAGCAGATGTACTACACATTTCTGGGACACATTACCTGCCTTCTTGCCACTAAAATGCCTGACCAATGAAAAGTTTATCCTCACTAGCACTAAAAAGAACACTAAAAAGAAGTATTGTCCAGATGTGAATTTTACATCCAATGCAGGTTAAGGAAAAGAGCTGCACTGCTGTTTCTGTTAGCTCAGGGTTTGCAGGTGTGGTGTGAAGTTTGCGCAAGTCCTTCAGTGGCTACATTTTCTCCCAGCTTGAACGCTTGAAAAGGTTAATTAATTATCTGACTGGCTGGCATAATTCAAGCACCTGCTTTCAGATATTTAGCAGGCATTGTTTTGGAAACTGCTGTGCAGGATATCTCAGACCAGACATAATCCTCCCCTATGTCTTATGTGTAGGTAGCTAATTTTCATACAAAACATGGAGTTGGGAATCCAGTATAATGCTCAGAAGCACTTCAGCTTTGCTAGGGTCCTAGTGCCCAGTGCAGCTGTTCACCCAGCTGTTTTCTGCCTCCCAGCTTCACAGGGCACTGCTTCACTCACAAACTGTCATGGGACATTGAATTAATTTTTCATGCTACTTTTTCTCTCTTTCTTTTTTTGCGCTTTGTATTATCCCCTTTTGCTGTTGTGAATACAAGGGTACCCTGAGGTCTTTTAGACTCCCAGTTGCTCCTGTGATGTGAATAATTAGTAAACTAAGCTCCTTATGATACCGTTTATTTTCAAACACTTACTCAAGTGAGGAAAGTCCAGCGCTTCAAAAGACTCTGTGAAATGGCTCTAGTGAAGATACTGTCAAACATCCCTGTGTATCATGATTTTGAAGTTTTCCAGGTTTTTTTGTTTTGTGTTTTTTTTTTGTTTGTTTGTTTTTGTTTCTTATTTTGCTTGCAAATAGTTATAGTGACTCAATCTCTGTGCTAAAGCTGTGGAAGGTTGCTGAAAGGCTCTGAACACAGGAGCTGTTCAAGGAATGCCTATGCTTACTTAGCTCATCGCTCTTTGATGCTCTATACTTTTCTAATTGTTGCTGTTTATGAAGCTAATTTAGCCATAAAATGGATGAATAGGAATATTAAAATAAAGGAAAAATTTACAGAGCAGCCTGTGTAATTATTATGGTAGACTACAAATGCATGTCTTTAAAAACAGGTCTGAAGGCACACAAGTAGAAAACGAGCTTAGTTTAACGGAGGATCCTACTTTTGTTTATTTAATTTTTTTTGCCCTATTATCAGTGGAGGCAACTGCGTCATTGTGAGAAGGTAATAGCACATGCAGTATTGGTAGGATTGGAAAGATTGGAACTTTACAGCCTGAATCTTGAATGCTGTCTTACTGCGTGGCTGAGTTCTGTGACCACTTAGTGTTGGGCTAGGGTGGTTTTTTGTAGGAAAATGACCAAAAGGTGAGGAAGGAAATGATTGATTTTTTAAAAAGGGGACAAAAAAGGGAATGGGTGAGAAAGTTACTTATGTGCAGCAAAAGAAAAATGAAAAGGAAGTAAAGTAGGAGTGGGTGGTACTGTGAATGAAAGTTATCAGGAGAGAGAGAACAGGTAGTGTACGAAATCAGAAATGGAATGGAAAATGCAAGAAAAAATGTAGCAAATTTAGGAAATAAATCAATGTGAAAGTAGATGGAGAGAAGAATCATGAGACAAAAATGAATTCTATTGTTTTTGTTCTTTATATCTTATGAATTTTAGTGCCAAAAGGAATACAGTAAATTGTCTAGCTACTGCATATTATCCCATGATGCTTGCACTGAAAATGAACTCTTCTGAGGGTAAAACTTGAATATTACAGTATTTGTTGCTTTAAACCCAGAAATTCTCCATGGTTGTGTTGTTTATAGATCTGCTCTGGTCATGGTAATAATGTTTGTCTCCCAAAAATTTTGTGCTATTCTAAAATGCTTTCCCATTTTTCCCTATGAATTTTCAGTTTGTCAAAACTGAAATTATCTGTATTCATTGTTCATTGCCAGATATTTTGAAACAAAAGCTATTTGGGGGATACTTTTCTTGAGGCTTTCACAGTATGATGGTGTCTGGAAGTTTAAAGTTGTACTGATCTTCAGATCTGCATTTCTGCCCTGCTGATGATCCTCATTCCTTGGTTGGTATCAGGCTGGAATGAACTTATTCCGTGCTATTCTTGTCCTGTTTTTCTTGGATGGCAGTTTGCTCACCTGTTTGTTGCCATCTCACAGTCTCTCTGCACTCCAGCTCATGGCTGGGTATGTTCTTCGATGGCATAGTTTTTGACAACATTTTTCAGGATATATTTGACACTTGCAGAGACAAGGAACTGCTTAGGACTATATATCCAGGTACTATTTCTTCTCAATTTCAGTATGTGCACTTCCTTATTATAGAAAAAAAAAAAAAAAAAATACAGTGGTAAAGCTATGACTGTGCATAGTCTTTCATTTTGTTTTGCTTTTCACTGATATTTTAAAACTTCATGCAAAACTAATGCAGAAGGTCCGGAACAAAACACCCAGATTTAATTTCACTACACCAGCCATTATATTTGACAAAAGCAAAACAAAGCAAAACATTTGAAGTACATTTAGTATGATTTATGTATATTTATAAAATAAGAAATCTCAATTTAAAAAAAAAATATATATATATATGATGGAAATTATTAAATGATATTTGGAATGGAGCATAGGAGAGAAATAGCTTTTCTGTATACCCCCAGTCGACAGCTGGGACATGGTGCACTTATCTTAGACTGTGTATTTCAGTGAGGCAATCACCTGAGGTGGTGCTGTTGTCATGGTTTTGTTATCAGTATTCCACATCATAACACCATGTAATGCACAGGTAATTAAAGAGTTGATACTCCAGTTCTGTGGATTGTCAACTGTCCGGATGCCGGGTTCTCAGAAGAGAACTACATATCCCAAGGGGACTTCACGTTCAGAGAGGAAGATAAGCCATGGGAGGACATCACAGGATCTCTGGCTCTCTCTCACTCGCTGCCTGGCAGTGTGTGGCTGTGCTCCCCAGCCGTGAGCCTCCAGTTCAAAGTAGGCTTTTTCAGTTTTGGACACTCTCTCTCCTATTTTATTTGATTTATTAGCCTCAATTTCAATTATATTGTATCATTTTGTGTTACTTTGCATTCCAGTATATTTAGTAAAATTAAGTTTTCCTCCTTAGATCGTTGCTGCTGTTCTGTTTTTGGCCCAGCTCCCATCTCCCTACCTTTCCCTTCTTCCTTTCCCATTACTGGGCCAGGAGCTTACAGACCTGCTGCCCCGTCACAGGCACAGATTGATCCAGATAACTCTGTGACTGCTGTGTTACTATCCAGCTCCTGGCTGTTCTGTCCAGACGTCATTGTCCCCACCATGTAATGTGGCTCCCAACTTCTCAGTCACATCCTTCTGCTCTATGTGGCAGTGGGGATGACAGGCAGATTGCTAAAGGTGGGCCAGCATGTTTCCATTCCTTTTGGCTTCTCTGGAAGAAGAGGATCATGTGCGTGCAGAAATTCTGCAGATCTGCATTTACCAGTATTTGTTATTTACTTTCTAATTTCTGGGATATGCACTATTCAGGTATCACTTTTCTTTGTAATTAGAAGCTGGAACAGAGGAGAAAAAAAACCCTATATATAAACACTCATGTTGATATGTAGACACAGTGACAAAATTCAGCAGCTCAGAATGAAAGATGGCACTCTGCGCTTAATTTGCACCAGAGGGAAAAAGGATGTGAAGGGATGGGATGAAAGTCAGGCACAGTATATCAGCTGAGATTTGTGCTCCTGTGAACATCCAAATGTTAACAATGAAACAAATGTTAGCAACTCTTTGAAGTTTTCAGAACAAAACCTCTAAAGGAAGTTAAACATAAGTCTGTGCTCTGTAAGTTTTAATTTCATTGCAATCACCAGTTTGCATTAATTATTAGATGTAATTTAATTAACTTCTCCATTTTAAAACATTTTGAGTTATAAACATGATTTTTAGAAAGTTTGCTAATGAACATGCAAATAGGATGCATACTGTGGATCTTGAAACATATATAAAATTGAAATCCCAATGCAAAGCAGTTGCTCTGTTTGCACTGTAGCGGTGTATGTTTCTAACCTCTTAAATATTGAAAAAATTTTCTTTGCACATAAAAGATTTTGCCAAACCTAAAGTCTATGCATATAGCTGAAGGTCAAAAATAGGTTCTTAGGTATAGAAATAAAAATAAATTAATGTTTCAAACTTTTTTTCTTTTGCCTTTTACTAAGTCATTGCAAGTTTTCTCCTTTAAAATTCTTCTGGAAGTTTGCTCAATGATTTTCATTTCTCTTAATTTTCTTTACCAAATATAAAATCCCCAATGGGGCTGCATAGTATATTAGTCTCAATAATAATACTGCAATATTAAGACACAAACCAAGGATATTGAATGTTATCAGTTAAACAATTAACAGTTTAAGTATTGATAACTGACTTGGCATACAACATTCCAGCTGTTTTATTTTTTTTTAAATAAAATAATACCTTAATTTATTTGTATTCCACCAGCATGAATACATTCATTGCAAATTGCATGCACATAAATGGGAATCCGTTTGTAAACTACATAATCTTAACAATAAATAGTATTTGATCTAATGTTGGTTGTACATTTCTTGTTAAAAATGCAAGCTTTTACCAAAATGAAAACAAATTATTATTCTCCTTACAAATATTTTAAATATTTTTAATTACATATTTCATACCAAGTATATAAAAATAGTATTTTTTTGATAAATTTTGAGGTTCCATTTACATAACAAATAACGTGCAACAATTGACCACTCTCTACCAGCTCTATCTGGTTGGTTGTCTAGATGACATGCAGTGACAATTGTCCTTTCGCTTTCACAGAACTGACAAACAGACCAGCAGAACCCACAATCACTGGAAGCAAGCAGTGCCATGGATATTGTTTAGAAACAACAGTCAGACACTCAGGGAAAACCTTTGCTTCGATGAATAAAAGCTGCCTATGACAGTTCTTTTATCCAAGACTTCCAGCTGCTCTGACCCTCAAGGTCTTTGGACTATCACAACAGTCTGCCAAACAGACCAGAAAGTTTTATTTGTATAGAAAATGTTTTTCAACATGCTTCTAGATTCTAGATTTTTTTTTCCTATAGTATGAACCAGGAATACCTTTTCTTACTTTCTATAAATCTGAATTTTCATGTTTGTAAGTCTCCATGATCACCAGAGAAAAGCTGAAGAATGCAGTCATTGTACTCTCTAAATTTAAAAGTGGCAGCTGTGGAACATGCTTTGAGTGCCACTTCACTATTTCTCATTATACATCTATGGCTTGGTTGTCTTTCTCTTTAACATCCCTTGTGCTTGTGACAATATCTAGGGGGAAATCTGAGGTCTGTGCAGAAACTGTTCCACCTGCTCCTTCAAGGTCCCATGATCCTGGCAGGTTTTCCAGACTTAATGAGCTGATTGCTCCTTGGCTAAAGCTCCCTTCCTCAGACCTGCTGGGCAGCACGAGGTGCAGCGATGTCTCTGATGAAGAGCATACTGAAGAAGAAAGAGTAGCTGAAATAGACTGAAGAGGGGTCAAGGTAGTGTCTGAATGGGGAGAGGTACATCTTAAAAATTGCAAGTTATCTTTCTGAATTACCTGATACTGGGAAGGTGAATTATGAAGGCCTGATGTAGAAAAAAATTCATTGTCTGTAGAATTTTGAATATTATGTTCAGTTCTTTGGGGGCTGCTGCCTACAGAGGATAGATCTGTATTCCAGATGTCACATAAAGTGTTACTGTGGCAGGGTTGTGCTTTGGTGCAAGTAATATTCCCAGCTTGCATGTGTGTGCAAGGTTGATGTGTAGTCCAAGCCATCCGAGCCTGCAAGCTTTCCAGGGTAGGACTCCGAGATATGCCATGCACTGTGCAGAATCCTGGCGGCTTCTGGGATGGGAGGAGGTTCTCCAGAAGGTACATCACATTCTTCATATCCTTACTTAATTGTGATACTTCATGAGTTAAAGTTGCGACCTGTTATGTCAGAACAAAATACCCCAATATTAATTTATGCAGTGCACGTTACAGTTATGCCTGAAATATGTTGTATTATTTTATTTTATTTTATTTTTAATTCTAAAAACATAAGATTTAGTCTGCAGTAGATTTATTTTAAGGAGACATGCTTTACTAATATATGTCTGGGATATAGTCCATCCCTTCACTCAGCTGCATGTTATGCAACCTGTGACATGCTGAAGTAATTGAACAACCCAATAAAAAGTTATAATGGAAACATTACAGCCATAATTCACCTGATTTTACACAACTTTGCTGTGAAGAAATACTGTCTTTCAAAGCAAAGTTTAAGAGAACAGGGTTATTAGTTTTGTTGATGTTTGTTTGCTTTTAAATATGTAAACTTTAATAGTAACATTTTCTGATGCCTTGAGCTTTAGTAGTTGTATTTTTTGCATTTCCAAATTAGTTTGACAGCTTCTGTAGAGTGTTTTTCTTTACTACCAGTATTAAATAGCTTGTTAAATAGAAATTCAATTGCATGCTTTGTCTCCTGTAGTTAAGTACAAATTGAGGTTATTGTATTCAAACCTTCCCATAAGTGATGAAAAGCTCTTTATAATATCACATGATTATTATTATTGCTTTGTTTAAATAGCATTGGAAAAACAGTTGTCTTTGTTTTTCAATACATACTCCACCTTTTGTTGCTGCTCTTTTAATGTTAGATTTTCTACCCAAAAGCCTATTGCTTACCAATGTACCTGGAGAGGTCCAGATTACATTAGAAGCCTATTAGAATATATTGCTCTTTTTTCTCTCTGTGGTTTACTTCTCTTTGCAATTCAAACTTTATTGAGACATCTTCCTGCCATCGCTTCTTCTGGACACCCAAAGAGGTGAAGAAGAAAATTTGCTTTTTGGGAAATGAAAGTTGAATTTTGGCAATGCGGAGAAAACTGTCTGCTTACACTGCAGATGTAGCTTTGCTGTTCTCTTCCTTAGCTTTCCATTGGTTCTTCTATTCTGGAGCTTCATAAAGTCAATGAGACTTTCAGTCAGAATGCATTGCCTTTGAGGCTCAAATTAACAGGCTGCTGATGCTCTGTTTTCCAGTAAGTTGAGTGAATGAGAACTGAGCTGAGACAGACTTTTCATAGATCATCTATCAATTTACATCACCATTACTATTTTTGAGACAGACATATCTGATCTAAAGGCACTTTAGGAATTAGGCTAATTGCAGAAGAAAAAAATGCAGGGCAACCAGTCTCAGTTTGGATCGAATATTTACAATTTGTGCAATGATAATTAATTTAAATGAATTAAATCTGGAAGATCTTGAAATTCGCTTTATCATGTCAGCGTATGAAAAATTCTCTGCCAACTGGCTGGCCAGGTCTCACGTAGTTCTGGGGTAACCAATCTGTCTGGATGAATTAGGACACTAAGATGATTGCTAATAGTACTAAATAAGAACAAAACTAATTTTAAATACTAGGTTAAAAGAGAAGAAGCAATATACATTTCTCAAGAATAACTCATGGTGAAACAATCTAATTCCCTGGTTTTATAGTTAATAGTATTATATGTCTTGCCAGAAGGGTACTCAGAAGTTACCATCCAAATGACAATCTTCTAAACCAAGAAAATATAACCAAAATGTAACCACTAAGTGTTAGATTCATGCATGACTGAAACAGTTTGTGATCAATAAACACAGTACTGTTCTGGGAGGACATTTCAAGCAACCTGCTTTTTTTTTTTTTTTTTTTTTTTTTTTTTTTTTTTTTTTTTTTACATTTATTTTTAGTTGCTAAATGGAGTTCACATTCACTTTTAAATACTAGTAATATGAAATTCAACAAAGATTATTGTTAAGCAACACATCTGAAAGGAAAATATCAGAGGCATTAGTATAAATACAATACTCTATGGGCATAAATATGATACTCTTCCAATGCAGTATATTACAAAACACGATCTGTGGTCTTGAATCATGCACTGTATGTATTAGTCATACTCCCAGGATATATCAACAGAACTTTTTTCATTGAACAAAGGGAGTTTATCTTTATGAGGAATTACTTTGACTAGCACAGCTTGGGATCATGTACTTTGTAAGGGTTTTAAAAGATCTAATCACAGACAAACCAGAAGAAAATAAGGAGTCTTCCAAAACGGAATGAGTAAAGAGTCTGTAGGAATCAGGTTTGTTAAGCTGTGCTGTAACAATGTTTCCAGTATAAATGGTTTTGAGAAAGAGAATGACAATCAGGCTTTTCTTCTACCTTCTAGAGAAAAGAGAAAAATTGGTGATAAATGTCAACAGAGGTTTACATTTGGATGATAGGAAAATAGATCTTTTCAATATGTCAATGTTTTGAAATTCGTATTAGAGTTAACAACATTATGGTTATCTCCTATCATAGTAGTAATATTTTTTGTTGTTCAAATCGTCTTCTAGTCCCCAGTTTTAAACTCAATTACTTTCATTCTTGATTCATTTCCATGCCTCAGATGCATTTCCGCTAAGGAAAAGTGAAGAAGGAACACTTCAATGAGTAGGCCCTGTGCCTTACATCCTACTTTAAAACAAACAAACAAAATAAATAAATGCCCAAGCTTTAAAATATCAGTCGCTTTAGTTACCATCATCTGTCAAAAACTTTTGAGCTAAAATTAAAAGCTGTAAAGAGTACTTCACATTCATCAATTTACAGAACAAAGAGAATACAAAACAGAAGCAAGACAGGAGTTCTTAGGAAGTATGAATATGAATGCTTGAAGGAATATATGTTTGAACAAATATGAATAGACCATAAAAATGTTTATTTTGTGCTTATGGTTTAGAAAACTTTTATTTCTTAAAACACATGATGCTAGGTTTGACATGGTTCTGTGTCTATTTTAATAGTTAAAATACAAAATGGATAGATTGACCACAATCAGTTCTCATTCTAAAAAAATATTATTAGCTCTTTTTTTTTTTTTTTTTTTTTTTTTTTTTGCCACATTTGTTTCTATTAAAGGATGTTTTGCAATTAAATGTACTTTTTTTTTCCTCTCCTGATAAGAGAGATGATTTTATTTTCAGCAGCGGGATGCAAGATGTTTTGAAATATTCTATTTATAAAATTTCTCTAGGTGATCTGATAAACATATTTACTTAAAAATGTTTCTCTTGTTTGTCTTGTTTGAAAGCTAAATATCCATATGATCCATATTTCACTGATCCAAATATGTGCCAAATGTTTAGAATATTTTAAGCACTTACAAAAAAAAGAGCTGAATTTCCAGTAAGTACGCAGCTAAATAGAATGCAATTTTCTGCTACAAATTTGACATTATTCATATTTCTTTGTTTGTTTTTCAGTTTAATAGGACAAATGTGAATACTCTGCTCATTATACTGATATAATGCTGTAATTGCAATATCTACCGATGTAGTAAAATATGAAATCAGTTTCCATTTTTCTACTTTAAGCAAGGCCTCTACCTAGCCTTATTCTTTGTATGCGTTGTTTATACATACAAATCCAGATTTCTGCACAATGTTGGATATCTGAAAGCATCTCTGCATGGGGAAATGCGGACCTGCATTTGTGTACTCTGTACTCTGAGCTGACAAGGGAAGATGTGGTACAGTGGCCCAGTAGCCACAGTGGTGTAGGTCTGATCCTGACTGCAGTCTTTAGCACTGCTTTAACTAATGTAGCTGTAGGAGGCTGCACTGGAGCTGAGTTGAACACAGTATGAAAGGGACATGAAAATGAAATCTGCTAGCTATGCTTTGTATGTCCAAATATGAAACCATGTCCTTATGTATTTGAAAGGGGAGCATACCCTCTGCAAATTATGAGAGAAAAATTAAGACTAAAATTTGGGGATTTTTTTAATTTTTAACTGCTCAATGTTTTAAATAATGCAGATTTGATTGCTGTATATGCATTTTAAGTTGAAGTATTTGCATATTCTTTTCATATATTTATACTGACATTACAGAGAACTAAACACATGGTAGGACATAGACAATGATATAGTGGTAGGCAAGTGCCTTAGTCTAGATTTGTGGTCCCATTCTCCCTTTAGATACATACACACATTGATAAGATTCCCTGAGCCTTCGCTTCTCCAGACTTAACAGGTACAGCTCTCTTATGAGAGATGTTTCAGTCTCTTAGTCAGTTTAGTAGCCCTTCTCTGGGCTCATTTCAGTAGCTCCATGTTTTTCTTTTACTGGAAAGTCCAGAATTGAACACACCACTCAATTGGAGGGCTGAGTAGAGGGAGGAGAGGATAACCTCCCTCCACCTGCTGTCAGTGCCATTTTAAATTCAGCCCAGAGTACCACTGGCATTATTGGCCACAAGGGCACTTTGTTGGCTCATGGTCAGCTTGTTATCTATCAAAACCCTAGATCCTTCTCCAGAGAGCTACTTTCCATCAGATCAGCTCCTAACTTGTACTAGTGCATGGGATTATTCCTCCCCAGGCATAGGACCCTTCTCTTGCCTAAACTGAATTTCAGGAAGTGCTTCTCTGCCCTTCTTTCCAGCCCGTTTAAGATACTTCCAAATGGCAGCAAAGCAGTCTAGGATATGAAACCATTCCTCTCAATTTTGTATCATTATTAAACTTGCTGAGGAGGCACTCCATCCCTTCATCCAAGGTGCACTGGATCCAGTACTGACCCCTGGGGGACACCACTGTCTGAAAGCCTCCAACTAGTCTATGTGGAACTGATTACCAATGTAGCTGGGTAATTTGCTGAACAGTTAATCCTTGGAGTTATGCAATAAAAATTTGAAGCATGTTGAAGTTTTTCTCATGGTGCCTAGCAGCTGGCTTTGTTGCCTATATTCCTTCACAGAAATCTCTGTGTGTTGATCCTAAATTTAATACGTAACAGGTGAAATCAACAACTCTATCTTCTTTTAGTCTCGTTGTTAGATAAATGATTATATTTTTGGATTATATAGTAAATTTCATAGACTTAAAATGTTGCTGTGAATTCCACTAGATGGCTAAGCTGGGTGTATCTTCTTTTGTAGATTGTGGGGTAACTGCTTTGCTTTACTAACAATAGGCAGTACTTAGTGAATGAGAAGCCTGCCTTGTTCTCCCAGGAAATAGCTGAAAAGTTTTTAAGCTAGCTAGTTAACTGTAGTAATACAAATGCCTTTCATGAAATAATTATATTTGCATTTGTTGATTGACTTCTGATTTCTACTATAAAATGTATTAATGATGATATTTGTTGCTTGACTACTTGTGACCTGTTTTCTCAATGTTTTGTTTAGAAGGAGGCTGCACATCTTACAGAGAAGATCAATTTCTAAAATTCCCTATATTTTGACTACAGATCTCAGCCTGCTGCACCATCAGTCATAACCTTCCATTATTGATCAACATCAACTGATGGAAAACAAAAGAGAAATAAGATCTACAAGTGGTATTCAACAGTTATCATAGCAAAAATCAAAGAAGAGCTAGTGTCCTCCACCAACACTACTTATAGGCTCATTTGGGTAAGTACCATGTCACTCAGTCACTCTATGTGGGGCATGTTTGAGTAGGTGGATTTGTAGCCATGTAGAATATGCAAGTAAGCAGCCTTCTAGTGAAGAGTCTTTTCAATGTAAATTTTGATCCACGGGATGATTTACAGGATTACCATCTGTCACTTTGGGATTCAATCCCAGGATGTTACCCACCACATCAAAGTCTAGACCACTTTAGTTTAATCGCTTCTTATGCTCTTTGAGTTCTTTGATCATACCTTGTGATAAAAAGTGTTCAGTCAATGGTGCATGGTTCCTTGTTCTGAACTTTACAGTTTGACATATAACCAGATTAATAGTATAAACCAGCCATGCCTGTAATCTTAGTTCAAAACATGCAAATTATCTTTCCAAGTTAACCTGACCCAGGATGAAAGAGCTATACAAGCCTAGTATTTCAAATATACGGAAGTAAAGAATAGTTATATTAAGCCTACACAAGATGGAAGGAAAAAAAAATAAAACTTTTCATGTAACCAAATAGATCACAAAAAAGAAGAAAAGTTGTACTATTGGACTTTAAAAAGTGTATATTTAAAATTTCCCCCATGTGGACTCATAAGAAATTATCTCTAGTATCTTCATGTTGAATGACAGAGTATGCTGAAAAATAGATTTCAGTCTCAGATTTTAGTGTAGCAGATGTTTAGATAGTAGATGTGTTTAAAATTAGAAGGGCTAAATAGAAAACTGAGTGGAACAATGTAGGCTGCATTGCTATGATACTATTCCTTGAGCAGAAATGGATATACTTCTGTTTCATTCTGAATAGACTCAGATAAAGTTATTTGAAATATTTAATGTGGATTTGAAACTCAGTGGATTTCATTTTTTTCAAGGAAATTTTCCAAAAGCATAGTGTTGTTCTCCAAAAGAAAAGATAGAGTAAGGTGCATGGGGAAAGATTGAGAAGAAAGAGAAACAGAAGCACAGAAAGAAGACATTCTTAAAAAATTCAATATATCAGCTATGCTAACCTCACTTTATTTTTAGCTCCAGCATGTAATACATGTAGCTTTCATGTAGAAAAATAACCTGTGACACAGTTAAATAACCCCAAACTGCTCTAAGTTTAAGAATTCCATCCAATTTTTCTAAGTAATTTATTGCACATTTATCATATCCCAACATTTTCTTAGTTTTCTCCAGCATTCCTTGAATCAGTGTTAATACCCAATATCTCCAAAATATAATTACCTCATTATTAAGCCTGCTGATTTGTTGTTTGGTCTCTTCTGCTTTGATAACAAGCACTGCAGCACCAATTTCTGCCTCTGAAAATTCAAATACATGTAAATGAGAGACATAACAACTTGGAATCACAGTGTTAAATTTGTACTTATGCTTTATATTAAATTAAAGCCCAGTCTGCACTTGGATGAAATGAAAGTAAAATCTTGTCCTTAATAGTCACTATTTTATTATGTGTAAGGAAATTGTGAATGAAGAAAGTTTGTACTGTTGTCTTCAATCTGGTTTTGAAAGGACTCTGAGTAATGGTAATTCTGAGACCAATGGTAACTCTGAGGCCAATGGTGTAACACCTGAACAGTCTTTTAAAACATAGCTACACGTAGTTACTGTTATTACTATTTTGTTTAGTTTCAAGAGCAAAAAGCATTCTTGTGGCCTCCAGGCAAAAGGCACTTATCTACCTGAGGAATGTTTACGCATAGAAAGAGTATGGTGAAAACAGTCTGAGCTGCACTACTTTGGTCACTTCAGCATTAGTCCACTGGTCTCTCTCCTAGTCCCTCTTGATTTTTTTTTCCTATTTGTGTTCCTCGGTGTGGCTATTTTCACAGTCTTTTGAGAGTATCAGTCATTTAAGATTTCATAAACTCCCTATTCAGATTTTCTATTTTCAAATCTATGCTATTCAGATTTTCACTACTCCTGAAAAACCTGTAGGCTCCTTTGCCTCCATAAGCATCCTCTTAATAAAAATAAACAAATTTATATAATTGGTACTTATTTATTTGTGTATTAAAATATTTTGTTATCAATTTTTCTCTACATGTTTAGGACCTTCCATGCCAAAAACTTTGGAAGCATGAGGCTCCTGACTGATCCTAAAGCGCAGCTGACAAAATATAATGCGTGTGAAAACAGTACTTCTTGCAAGAGGTTATATCATGACTGTCTGTTGGCAGGAAAACAACAAATGGCCTTGGGAATCCTGTTGTATTTTTCCACATTGTTCAATGTGGTACTAAATGGTACTGAAAGGGTGGATACATGTTAGATCAATTTATGCCACTTTTAAGGATTTTCCTTTTGAGAATCAAAGAAATAAAGGGGGACAGAAAAAAGTTGTGAAAACTCCTAGCTATGAATTGCGATTTCCCAAGTCATACCTCCAATTGTTGGAGATGCCCTGGATTCTTGCTGAAGCTGATCAGAGCTGAAGTCAAAGGTTTGACTTTCCTCATTACAATTTCCATCTTCAACCCCATCAACAATTCTGTAAGGAAAATTAGAGCAATTAAGCTGTTTCATAAACAGTTTCATAGGTATCACACTCATATTGTCAAAATGGCACATACTTAAGCAATGATGAAATTTGCACAATATTAGTTTTAGTGACATTAGAAACTGTTACATTGCATTATATTATGAGGCTCAAAAGTGGTGCTTGAGCTGTTACCTGCAGCCGAAAACCTGAATGATTTCTGTGGAATTTGCTGTAACACCTATTTAATGTCATCTGGCCTCAGTGCTTCAAAAGGCAAACTTCAAACACCAATATCCCTTTTGTAGAGATTTCTAATTATATAAAATGCTAACATTTTAACAGCCTTTAAAGCACATGGGGGAAAAACTACTCAGATAGGAACTGGAATTTATAGCTGTTATATTCTTTAAAGTATTTAAAGACTAAAGACTAAAAAGAAAACATATTAACAAAAATAGCTAGTCTTCAAGAGCCATAAGGCAGGCCCCTGCTTAGTAAGTATGCAGTGGGAAAGATGTTTATTTATATACAAGAGAGTGGAATGAGGAGTAATAATTCAGTGAACAGACAACATATAAGCACAAGAGTCTCAGCCCTTTCTGAATTAGCTGCTATGAATTTTCTCCCGAAGATATGCATTTCAATTCCTAGGAACTAGAAAGGCAGAAAAGACCATGACCTCTTCTGTCCAGTAGGTCAGCATTGGAGTACTTTTTCCTGTATGGCTTTGAGAAGATTCAAAAGCATAAATACCTCCTCCCAGTCATGACTTTATTATTAATTGTAGGCTTTCCTCCTGCTGATGCTCTCTGTTTCAGATGCAAAATACATAAAGTGTAAGACTGTGGCTGTATTCTGGAAGTTAGGATGATGAATTTCATTTCTTCTACCAAGGTTTGTTCCAATGTTGTAACTACTCTTTGCACATCTGCTCTATTGCCTTTACCACAGTGTGCAAGAGACAAACCCAAAGTGAATTCTGGTTGACTTGCTCTAGGGAACGTGCACAGAACAAGTTGCTCAAAACAAAGTACATTCTCTTGAAAAACCAAGGTTATTCATCTCCCCATAGTATTGACTGCACATTTCAGATCAGAAAGCAGGGTATTCCTTTCCCTTTACATCACTGTTCAGCAGCAAATAAAATTAAGAATTCAAACAAAGATCTTATATTCCCTATCATACCTGCTAAAAATATGTTTTGTTTTGTTTTGTTTTTAAGTGTTTTTAGCTTTTCAGTTAAAATGCTTTAATAATATATACTGATTTGGGGAAATACGAAAGAATAAAAAAGTCTGCAAAATACATCAAAGGTCATTTTTCCAACCTATTAAGATAATTATTCTGAAGTTACAAAGTTTTGAAAAGAAATCAGAAATAATATGATATGTAAAAGCACTTATTTCACATTTAGTGAAATTTAGTCTTACATTTAGTCTTATAGTTATCTGGCTGTATATGTTAAGAACAGTAATGATCAAAATAATGTTTTGGTAGAACACATGAAAAGAATCTTTTCCCTGAATTGCCACTTTCTATGCAAATGACAATGACTTTCTGCCATAGCTGATCTGAACAAAACGCATATAAGATCCAAAACATAAATGATCTACAATCCTTTTCAGTTTTTCTCATGTAGAAGTTGGTTTTCCATAGGTGTATGGGAACTGTTGATCACAGCCTGAACCTCTGATTGACCACCTGAGGCAAGCACTGAGTCAGCCATGGGAACACAGGTGAAGGCAATTCAGCTGTGTGACCGTAAGAGGGGGAGCCTGGCTGCACCTCTCTTAGACCCCATTTAAGGGCTGACTGCCACTAAGGATCACTTTCTGGAGATTGCTCCTTGTGGAGTTTACTGCAAGCCTATGATATCAGTGAGTATTTCTATTTATTTTGATTATCTTTCCATTGCAATAATCTTACTCAGCCTAACTGTTATAAGACTTTTGATTGTATAATAGGTTTTGTTCTTTGCACTGACAAAAACGGAATTAGTTTGTATCCTGCTCCTATTTAAAATGCGCTTATGTTGATCAAATATATGATTGGGTGGGAGGATTATTATATACTATTACAAGTAGAACTTCTATGATTGCATCCATAGAGACTAATGTTTTGACACACCTAACTACGTATTGGTCATGCTGTGCTTATTTCTTGTCTGTAGGGGCAAATAGCTGAAACTATCACCTATAATGAACAAAGGAAATTCTTGAATATGTAAATACTTAGAATTATAGAAACCAAAACCTGAACTGAATGATAATCTTTCCTCACTCCTCATATGACCAAAAAAAAAAAAAAAAAAAAAAAAAAACACCTTGATTTAGTTATTAATTAATGATTATATTCCAAGGATTCAGAAATAAAAAAAAGTCAAATTCGAAGTAACATAAAAAGACACCATCTTGAATATTTTAAATTAAATGTTCAATGAAACATTAAACCATTGCTTAACTTTCCTTTATGTCAAAATTCACATTTACTTTATATATAAACTTGCATTGTCAGGTTTCCTTTATCTAATGTAAAAACCTAAATTTTTTTCTAATATTACTTGGCAATATTCTTTCCAGCATAATTCTCTATTACTGTAAATCTTTTTTGCACAGCTCTACTGTATTATCATTGATTTGCTTCCTAAGTTACTGTCTCTATGACAGACTGAGAATGCTTCACAGTGCTACTGTGGGAACACATTATTATAGTCTGGCTTCATAGTATCATTTTGTCCATCTGTTCAAACACTCATTTTTATAACTGCTCTGTACTTTCTATTATTTCTCACAGAAATTCTTTATCTGTTATTGAAATCCTAAAGTGTATAATGGTTTATTCAACGAGATATATTAAAAAATAAATAAATAAATTAGCATTACACTCATAATTTTTTAATAGAAATTATGTGACAGGAAGAGAATAACTTCTTTCATTACCTTGGGCTCAAGTCAGGTGGACCTCCAGCGCTCAATCCTGAAAGATGTATTTTAAGGTTTTTCTCCCTCTTTCTGGAGTAGTAATGAAGCTCTGTTTCATGTTTGGTCCTGGAGGAGTTTGAACTGCAAGCACGGATGGGTGAATGGAAGGGCACCGTTCCTGAGGCCAACTGTTTCAGGTTTCTCCCCAGGTGACTTTTATTGCTTCCTGCCTTCTTCTGCTGAGAGCAAGTTGTGCTTCTTGTATGGATTGGTGAAAGTGTGCTGCTCTCCTCTTCTCCTTCCTCATCATCTTCCTCATCTTCCACAATTGAAGGGAGTTTCTTCTTTATATTTCCATTTCCCTTGAGCTCTGTCTAAAAGAGTAGATAAATACTAAGATTAAATTCAAAGCCTGATGTAGCAGAAACAGTGTTTCTTCTGGCGCTTGCATTGGAACAAACCTAGCTGTAGGCTGACTTTCATTACGCAATAGAACTAGGGTTCTTTTGGAATTCTTCCATGACTTCTTTTCAACTATGTCTATACATGTGTACAAGAGAAAGATACATATGCACTAAAAAGGCTCTCTAGTGATCTTGCCAGTGAGCCTAAGACAATATATTTTATTACCAAGAAAAATAACATGACTAGGTCTTAAAAGCCAAGTGGCACGTGTACGCTTGAGGAGATTAATCTTTTCTTACTGAGGTGTTATTAATTCTGAATGTTATACTCTCAGACTCCTGGCACATTCAGGGAAAGAACTGAGACTTGTAATTCATATAATTCCACATTTTTTTTTAGACTGAGCCATTTGTAATATGCAAATGGCATTAATAACAATTCAGTTGATCCTCTGTGTCATTTATGATTTAAACCTCTGCTACAACACTTGGCAGATTTCTCAGTTTCTACAGATCAGCATTAATGAATGAGTATTGTGACAGTGTCAGTTTCAGAACTGAGTTATTGCAAAGCAGAGTTGCATCTGTTTAAAAAACAAAATGAAACAGAAAAAAACCAACTCTGCTGATGTTTGGTGTTGGACCCAAAGCAAATTAGGAGGCTTATAGACACGGGTTCTATGTTTGATATACAAAGTGCTTTGTGAGAGAGCACTGTATCTTTCTCTATTTTTTCATGGTAATAAAATACAGTGGTTATGAATACTGGAATATGACAATGTGGATCTCACATCAGGGTCAGCTTGTAAATCAAAAGCAGTCTAATTTATTCTCCTGCTGAAAATCACTGGATTGTTAAGGCAGAATGATCTGAGCCAAATCAACAGGCTACACAGATCTCAGTGAACTGAACAGCCAAGAGTAATCTCAAGGTTTCAGAAAAGATGCTGTTTTTTATTTATTTTTCATGTTACTCTTTTCAATCAAGCTTCATTATGGCATTGTTAACCTTAGCTACAAAAGCTTCTCAGATAAGCTTCTGTAGTTCAGTTTTCTGGTTCAGACTAAGATTAGCCGGGTGAAAATACGCATTTTGGGAATTTATCTAAATGTTCTAAGCTCCTATCAGGTATCTATCTAAATGTTTTGCATCATAAGTTAAATTTTGCTATGAATTACAGCACACTTCCATTGAGTTAATGTTTTTGTCATATTATCCTTTGGCAGATACAGTAAATTAGGCCCTTTCAATCTGAGATTGAAAAGGTAAGAATTATAAAGAAGTCCTTTTGACACTTTTTTTAAAAGAAGCAGAATAACAGCCTTGCTGTTAACCGTAATAGCCACCTGAAGGCTGTCATAAGGATAAAATTGTACAGTATCTGGCTCTGATGCAGTCTACTCTCTACAGAGAACGAGTGTTATCCATGTTCAAGAATTTGGCTTGAGGAGCTATTTATTTAAAATGCAAGTGCTCTATCACAATATCCAAACTCAGCACCTGGAAAAAAAGATCATAAGCAGTTAGTCATAAAATGGACAGTGCCACAGCTATCGTTAGGGTGCTTCTTAAAAATTCATTCTGAACACAGTGAAGTCACTTTAGAGTTTTTCCAACTTTGCTCTGGCTGTGTGCATGTTTTGAAGTGAAGCTCTGATTTAAAATACAGGTAACATACCTGAGATAATGTAGACTTGTTTGATAATTTCGATATTACCTGAAACAAAACAAAACAAAGTACCAAATATGTGCATCTGCACAGTAGTGGCTTCCAAGAACATGCAAACATATTAACCAAATTATTTATGTTGATTGATACAAAAAAAAAAAAAAAGTCTCATTGTAAAACTGCTGTGTTAAATTAAATATAGCACTGGAAAATGACAGTCTTTGGTGGTACTGTCAGAAAACAAAAGATTTTTCTTTCATTTAAAAAAAAATGTATCCTGCAAAAAAAAAAATTTTTATTTAATAAAATGTTGGACCAAATCTCCAAACCTCTAAATGAATGTAGATGGGCAAACATATGTCTCATGAGGCTCAGTGTTCCTTTGATGGAATCTCATGCAGAAAGTGTGCTCTACTTTGCCTCTCTCTCTTTGTAGTGTTAGCTCCTAAGCTAGTCTAGTGCTTATATCTAGGTAATCAAACTGTTTCATAAGAACCTGAAACTGTAATGTAGGGATTTTTTCAGTCAGTGAAAGGGGCAGAAGAGAGTAGGACCAATATAATCCTCAGGGATACACATGCGTAACAGCTATTCAAGGCCTTGAAATTTTTCTTACATTGATTGTTCAAAACCAAAATTAAATAAATGACTTGTAGATTTTATTGGAAAGTCTTAATTAAAATCATAAGAACTACTGATTACTGTGTGATATGAATGTTCTGTTCTTTATTTAAATGTCTATACCTTGACCACAGACAAGACATTAAGAGTGCATGCATGCTCTAATAAGAAGAATATTTTAGTCTGGCAGGCAGAAACTTCAGAAGTGATTTTTCAGCTTTCCTATGCTCTCCATGTTGAGATAAAAATGTTTAACATCCTTGAATTTTATAGGGTCTTAATATTTAATTTTTCTCCTTTCTTATTTTTTTCTTCTTCACAAGTCTTTCATATTAACCTGAAAACTGTTTTGCAACTGGTTGTAAAAGTGAGTGTTAGTAGATGTTAGTAATGGCAAGATATGAGTGCTCATTATTTAATTCTGTGTAAGCAGAAATCCTTCTCCACAAATGCCAAGCCAGTAGCAGGTGTATCAATAAACTTAGCAATAACATTCTAGGAACTGCCAAATAGAACTGCCATAATTAGGCTATGTAGATAAAACAACTGCTGTGTTCTTCCAGAGTCAGAAAAAGTGCTAGATGACATGAACTGATCATCAGATCTCAAATGCTGACGTCTCTCAGTTTGCATTGTAACGTATGCTGGTTTAAGAAGCAGTCAGGAGAACAGTAAACAGGAAATGTATTAACATATTAAAGTTCTTTTAAGGAAGACCAGACCTAGGAAGTATTTTTGGCTATGTCTGCACATAAGTTGGAGCAGACTAATTTACAGTTGTGCCCAGAACTTAAGGGCCTCTGTTTGGCATCTAGGCACAGGTGCAGGATGAATATTAAATAGCAGCCTTGATTAAAAATCCAAGCCAACACCAAAAATTATCAGCTAACATTAAGTCTGTAGTATGAATTTGCCTGCTTCAGCCTTTGAGAGGGACTTTTCATTTGTTTGTAGTAATATATGTGAAGATCTCACTTGATTTAATTCTTCACCTGAGCCTACCTGCTCGTTCCCATTTTACATCTTGAAAATAGAAACAAAGAAATCACTATGTGAATGTCTCCCAGACGTCCAACTGTTGTTCCCACATACCCACTGTTTTCTTTTAGATGGGCTTTCAGCTCTACAACTGTGTTAATGCACTACAATGAAAATTGTTGCTTGTGACTTTTAACATAGCATCTTTTTCAAGTAAACACAAGCTTCTGGGTTTTATGTCATAGTAGTTGAAAGACCTCAAGAATTCTCTAGTCTAAAAGTTTTTATAACAACTCCCTTCTCTCACTCTTTCTGCAAAAATATTGCTTTTGAAGAGGAAAAATAAAAATAATCACAAGAATGTAGATGAAGCCAGCAGGCAGTAACAGGTAGCAAATGTAAAATCAGGGGCATACTTTTATCTGAATAAACATATTCTAGAGTAAATAATTAGGAAAAACTGTCTTAATCTTTAATCTGTTAAAACTTTGTTTACAGCAATGCGCTGATGTATCTTATTTAAAATCCTTTATTTAATCCCTACATAAGAGAGAGAATGAAAAATAGCTCACATTCTTATCTCTTAAAAGAAAGCAAAAATTTTCTTTAGAAAAGGCAGATGAAAGACAAACACAACTCTTTTCCCTGTTTTGTACTAAGAAGAAAAAGTCTCATGTAAGCCAATTCATTTTTTAATTTCAGCCCTGGTGTCTTGTAAAACCAGCTATTAAATTTCACTAGTTAAAAATATAACAGATCATGCACTAAAAACAAAATCATCAAATTCTTCCATGAACATTATGCTTTTGTACTTGTTTAATAAGTTAATATAGAAATCTTAAAAATGTGGCAGTCTTTATCACTTGTTGTTGCAAGCAGGAGAACATTTTCACAGATGAAAACATAGTGGTTTGCTTTCAAAAGCTGGTAATCTGAATCTCTTCCAGGATCAAGGGACAGCAGTCTTTAATAGGAGAGTTGTAGCTAAACCAAGTCCTTAGATGTACAGTGACTTAAGATGAATTAAGTTATAAATCCCTATAACCAGAAATACAGTTAAATTTGATACTAATGCATTAAATGTATAGGTAAGTAAATTTGTATTTTGGTTGCTCAGAAGAATGTTGTCTGTTTCAAGTGGCTTCATTCCTATTGCCATCATGGGAAGAACAGAAACAATTTCACTCCATTGCTTGTAAGATTTGCCTCCTAAAATATATCAATAAAGCTATGTATCTATAGGGTCAAAAGGATAAAATATATTTTCTGGAAAGGATTTGAAAGCAAAGTAGAATACTAATGTTCTTAGTCAACATTTGGAAGCAGGGAAAAACCCATTTAGAAGCATTGACAATACCAGGGGGGAAAAAAAAACCCTCATATTGTATGTTCTATTCTTTCAAAACTTACTGCATGGTAATGAAAAAGATACAAATAATAAGGGATTAATGTATCACTGAAAAGCTTAATGCCTCATGTGTTCGGTTCTCAGTTTTACATGATAGAAAACTTTTCAATGAGCTACTGCAAATGCCTTAAATTGTGAGAGTCACAGACTCTCGAAGAATCTGATATTCTGTTCATATGACTGTTAAATATGACTGTTTCACTGAGCAACTCACTGTTCCTCCTTTATTTTTTTTTTTTTAAGAGTTTCTATAACCAGTTCATTAGCTTATCCCTATCTTTTTCCCAGATCCC